AAACAGCAGCACTGACACTTGGAAGGTGCAGTTAGGAAATCTGGCTTATACTCTCGCACAAAAATTTACCGTTTTCCAAGTCATAACCATGGAAAGTCGACAGCATGCATTTTATACATTTTATGTATATCATCAATATAGGTTCAGAACAAGATAATGCACAATGGTTAAAGCCACTCGATGTACTCTTCTTGTATTCCTCACTGAAGAGCATGTAAAAAGATATTAGAGTGGCAAGTGAAATACAACAACATGCTTTGTTCTGTCCTGATTTGTCAAGGGCATGTGGACTGCATTGTTCTGTTGTCGTTTGGAGGGCAGTATTTTCTCTGTGCTTCCTCTGAGGTTACCGGAGTGTCTCATGAAGGAGAAGCACCCAGGTGGCTTTGAGCACATACCTGTCTCTAGCACCCTTCAGCACACTTGCTCAGTAATTCAAGGCTCATAGATAGTAAAAGGATGTTCTTTCTTGAGAGGTTATTGGGAGGAATTAATCAAGAATTTCTTATTGAAATGTCTCTGTTGTAAAACGATAATTCATTAAAATCAAACATGTTTTCAGGAGAGGGCTTGTTCTGAGACTATCCTATCACATTCTGTCTTTTTTAATCATTTTTGCAGGAAAGGTTTTGACATTGTTGAAACATCTGCTTTGAACAATTTCTTTTATAAACTCTTCTCTTTGAAACATGTAAATGGAAGTCTAAATTGAAAAAGATAAGACAAAATGAACAGTTTCACTGAAAAAAAAATCAAGCTGAATTTTTCATTCCAAATTAAATGGGGAAAAATATTTTTTTAAATCGCATTCATGTTGGATGGAAGAATGTTTCTCATTTTGTTCTAAAAAATAATGAATAATCTAGCTGGAAATAAGTGAACAGAGAGCAAAATGACAGTTAATTTCTGTTCTTTGCAGAGAGAGTTTACCTCTTGGTATCTTTATGTTAGTGTATGATGTTTAACATTCCTGGAGTGTTCTCAGGACCACTGAGTCCCTCCTGGCATTTGCCCTCACTATGTTTCTGTTCATGCATGACCTTTGAAACTGAATTCTCCACACCTCAATCAAAACCCTGTGGGAATTCCAACTTCGTAAAGATTGCAGGTTCAGTACTGTGGGCTGCTTGCTGCTACTCCATAGTAAATCTATATTTCTTGTCCAATTTCAGATGCAGGTGTTGCACAAAGTGATAGATCACCATAGCAGGAACCAGCTTCCAGCTTAGCTCTGATACTGTGAGGGCAAACAGGGTTAATAAGGAAGTAGTCTGTAAATTGGCAAAATATGGTGCAAGAAAACATAGAACAACTACAGAACCACATCAGTCTTTTCATTACATCTCTCATAATTGTTTCCACACACCTTACTAGTAGGTAGGTAATGTGCCTGAAAGTCAGAGCTGGTGTAAACTAATATTATCCCAGAAAGGTCTGGTAGAGTTGTACTATTTCATGCTAGCTTCCCAAGAGAGACTTGCACAAAATGACCATAATATGGAAATGACAATGCTATCCTCACTGCTGCTGGAGCAGATGAAAATTGATATAATATGAAGAATCTGCTAGAAGAAGGTTCCTTGAAACATCTCTGGAAAAGCAGCTGGAGCTATAGCAACATGCTTCTCATTTAATTGAAAGGATTTGGGGCTGTATTTGCTTTCTGCTTATATATAATGAACAAGTGAGGGAAAATAAAATAATTATTTTTGAGGTGTGCTGCTTGGATGCAAAGCCCTGCGTTGGTTTATAGCCATTTTGAAAAGCAGCCACAACACAACTGCCTTTCTCTGCACAAAAAGATGGGGACTCTGCTGTGCCAGGGAGGCAGCCTGCCTTCTGTCGGCTCAGCGCCTTAGCAGTGCCACTCTCTCCAGACAGTCGGGACAGACTCCCTTTAAGGGAAGGGGGAAGGAAAAAAAAAATTAAAGAGGAAAAACAAACCTTTAATAATTTCTTCAGCAAAGGCAGTTAAAGGCACTTGGAGTCTTGAAAAGAAGTTCCTTTTTTATTTTGTGAGTAGGAAAAAAAAAAAAAAAAGCTTGCAGTAGTGGTCTAAGCATGATATTTCTCATTTTCAGGACATTTATGTTCAGAGAACTTGATTATTCTGCAAGCCCACGTTACTTGCAAGACACCTTTCTAATGAATCTTTGCTTCTGTGTTGGACAACAGCACAATAACCATGTTTTTCTTGACTATCGGATGAAGCCTCCTGTGATCATGCTTGATATCTTTTAATTTGTCATGGATATTTGTGTTTTCAGTAAATTGTTTAGACTGAAAGTTAGAAAGAAACAGACTTAAAAGGCTATAAATATGCCAATGATTCTGAACGCAGAGGAGACAAGTGTGCCAAAATCTGAATTTGAAGTGTGACTGAATAAAACTTTACATGATTATATTATGGACCTTTCTCTTACCAATAATCAAAAAGCTTATAGCCAAGCTTTAACTTCATACAAAGCTTGTAAGTATCCACAATAATACTGAAGGTGGGTACTAAGGGGTTGCTAATGAAATCACAGCCTTCTTGTGCATCAGATGCAGATACATGGGTGCAATATCCTAATAGAAACTATGACATGGGGCGAGTTTATATTACTGGTTTGATCTGAGCAGATTCCCACTGACCCAGTCTTTGGCAAATAGCCCCTCCCTCTCACCTACTGGCTCTTGAATTTTCATGGCCTTCTCTAGCCTTTCAGTTTTTCAGCTCAAAAACCTGATGGCAAACACAGCCTGGGACCAAAGTGTCTCTGCTAACCTTCCTTTGGATAATTTCTTGTGAAGGTTTGATGGCATGGCAACGTGTTTTAACTCAGCCCTCTGTATGTGGCTAATGCACGGGTCGTTGTTCCTTTCTCCCTGGGCAGTTTCCTCTGGAGTGGCTTGTGCATCAGTAAACCCTAATGTGCAAGGCGCAGTCCCTTGTTGCCACAGCAGAGATTGTGTACAGCAAATGAGGGGCATAAAAATGTCAGTCACATTATACTGATCCGCAAGTAAAGCTTATTTTGGACCACAGAAGGACCTAAGATTAGATAATGCCATGCTTTTTGAAACAACCATGGTTCAGATTTTAATCCTAACTGCAGACTCATGTCAAGGTGGCTGTGGGCTCACAGCTTGTTTGTGGACTCATTACTTGATTACTTGGAACCTCAATTAATTTAAGCTCAGCTGTGTTCCAGCAGGCAATGTCTGCAAGACCTTGTCTTGATCCTGTTCTCATGGCCTGTGGCTGATTTTATAGCTAGGTGTATGAACATATCCAGAAAGTAATCCTTTCATTTGTTTTTCCCCAAGTTTGATAGCAAGTTGATAGTGCTGCTATGGGAAACAGAATCAGGAGGCGGCACAGTTCTCTTTGGACTCTAAACACCGACAGTGAAATGTGCAACACCTGCCTACGGCAGAGATGCCACAGGGCAGCACACCCAGCTCCTCAACCTTCAGCGCAGTCAGCAGCAGCCCCCTTACAGCCATCAGCATGGACAAGGGCATACCCAGGGTGAGCTAACTGGGAATTTGCCAAGCAGCTGAGTTGTTCTAAAAAACCTTGGGGCCTGAGGTATTTGGGAAGGGAGTTAGAGAATGTGATTGCTCACGATAGCACAGAATGGGATTCAAGGACCAAAAAGGTCTTTCTTGTGTTTTCTATCCGGGCTCTAAAAAACAAACATTTCCTGCAATTACACTCTTACAAACAAAATCTTACTGCAGCCACATCACTTAAATGGAGGATCAGGCAGTTGGGGGCAGTTTTTTAATGCTTCTGAACACCAACAGAAAATGCAGTTCCTCTGGTTAGGGGGCCTAGCTTGCATCTGGTTCCACTGACATAGCAAAATGGTGCTGGCAGCAAGTACAGAAGTGTGTACGTAAGGAGAGTCAGCGTCAGGATGAAGGATAGAGAGGGAGGCAGGATTTCTTTCATTTTGGATCTTACACTTAATCTTTCCAAATGTAGTGCTATCACACAGAGTTGCAAGGTTTTGTTCTTGTTTGTTTAGTTTTCTTGAGCCAAAATAATTACCAAATCCCTAGTGTGAATACAATGATATCATTTATGTTAAAACTAGAGAGTGGGAACCAAGTGCTGTTTCATGAAAAGTTAATGTGTTGTGTTTTGGTTTGGTTTTTCCTTTTTTTTTTTTTTTTTTCTTTCTTTCTTCTTTTTTGAAACAGAAAAACAAAGTGCCTGAACCCGTTATCTTGAAAAAGGATTCTGAGACAGGAATCAGCACCCTTCCCATATGGTGGTAGCCCAGTGGGAAAGGTCAGGTTCAAACACATTTTTTAAATCTTGCCTTCCACATTAGAGGTTGCCCTTTCTGGTTTGTATTTATGTCTGTCTGCTGGTCTGTCTGACTGCAGTATATGGCAGTGCAGAAGAACCCCAGAAGGAATGCTGTATCTGTCTGGTTTTGCCAAGCAATTGTACTGTGAGCACAAGAACTGCTTCCCAACCAGTATTTCATTGAAGCTGATGTTTTTCCACAGAAAGCTTTGGTTTCAACAAATCAGCACTTTCCAATGGGGAAGTGTTTTGCCAAAGAAATTCCCCAAATATTTAGCTGTGGTTGTGGTAGCTCCTCAGTAGGGGGAGTTCTGGTATGCTTAGTTATAGGTTCACGTCCAAGAATTTGCAGGACATTGCAAAGTGCTTCCATGAGTGTGGTTGGTGTATATGAAATGAATAAAAACCCCTAGGATTTCTGTTCTTCCATAGGCTTCATTATCTCCTACATTTGCTTTTACACACTCCTGCATTAAGCTGTGTACTAGTGCACTCCATTCTCATTTCCCCTTGGGACAAGTTCCTCCAATGCAGACACCTTTCTGCTGCTCACCCTGTGGGAACAGAAGCAGTGAAATAATATTCTGGTAGATGTCTTGCCTTACCTTCAACTCATCTGTTTGTTCTGCAAACACATGCGCCCATTTAAAGTGTTATCTCTGTCTCAGAAGTTTATCCCATTTCTAGCCCTGCCCAAGGAGCAGATCACGTAAGCACTGCCTATTCCACAGCAAGGGTAAGCAGAGCAGGAATGAACTGGGAGTTAATGTGGAAAGAGAGGGAAGGAAGACCATATGTCAAGAACTGAAGAGGCATGGTCTTCAGGTAATAAGCAGCTTAGGAAGCAAGTGTCTGTCTAGAGTCTCTCTTCTCTGTGTAACTCTTTTTTTTTCTTTTTTTTTTTCCTTCCTTTTTTTTTTCTTCTGCTTTCTACTAGTGACGAACAGCAATGCAAAATAAGCTGCTACAAACAATCAGCTTGGAGTTCAGAGAATGGTTTTTGCTCCCCTTCCACCTGAGTGCCAGATCTCGCTCGCCCTTCTCACCAAGACCTGTCCTCCCTTGCATTTATGCACCTACTAAGAGGCGGTGGTTTTCTGTGCGCGGTGTTTGTTACAGCTCCACTTCTCCCCACCCATCCCCCTCTGCTCTCTCTACCCTCCCTCCTTGTTAGACATGATTACATGTTGTTTGGCCTCATTCCATTTAGGTTACTTTGCTGTATCATCCTGAATTTGTGCATAGCATAACAGCTCCAGAGATCTCCTAGTTTGAACCAAATGATAGAGTAGGCAGAGTTCATTAAAATAAATAACAGCATAGCATGAAACATAGCCCTGAAGTAATCAAAACTGAAATTTGAAAAAGTGACTCTGAGTGTAAAGAAGTTTGTTGCTTGCTGTCTGTGACAGGCAGAAATGGGGTCTTGCAAACAGCCAGTTTTATATGCTCTATTTAAACCTGTCAGCTCACCAGACAAAGGCATGGGTGCTTATAACAAGGGGAGAGAAAGCAGTTGGGAGGGGGATATCTGTGACCATATTGTAGCACCCAGCACATAAATTCCTCCCTTGATCCCTGAAGCTGGGACATTTTTCATGTTGTTGTTGTTTTTTACGGGGGCCAGTGGCAGAGGAAAGCTGTGATTTCAGCCTCAGCGTGGGGAATGTTTTATACAAGGCAAACTTTCCATGCTGTTAAATGCAGCTGACAGCCTCCTTCTACTTGCTCCCTTGTGTGTGGATCTGTCCCATTTCTTTAGTCTGCTTGTTTTCAGTGTTTGTGGTGTTCAATTTCAAACTATTTCTGTGACTTTTTCTCTGCTGTCTTAAAATCCCTTTGTTCCTTGGTTCAGCTTTTTTTCCTCGGAGCACTCATTATTACTACTAAACTTCTGCTCTTAAGGTGAAGGTTCAAGGTCCAAAGAGTAGTTTTGAAGAATGTGAATTTTTTTACCAGTTAGATACTAGACAGGGTGCAGCAGAGGAGGCTACAGAAGTGTCTTATTCTTGCATTCTGCTATCAGCATTTGCTACTGTCAGAAACAGGATTCAAGGCAAGATGGTCCAGTTCTGCAGCTCTTTATGTTCATCACTGAATTTATTTTGGCAACTCCTCCCCTGTAGCATCTATGAATCTACAAATATGGTGTATAAACCAAGTTGAAAGTATTCCCTGGTCATCTTGAAGGAACACACAATCCAAAGATGCGAAAACTCATTTCTGTTTCTCTGCAGAGGTACCCTGTGCATAGATGAGGCATTTCTGTGATTTTTGCACTTGCACACTGGAACCTGAAGCAATTATACCTGACTCCCAAGTGTTGTAGAAGCAGGCCTTGTGTAGGTAAGGAGCTGTGCATTTCCTAATTGTGAAGTGATTTTTATGTCTTCTTATTCCATCCTTCCTTTTGCTTTTAGTCTGTCTCTAGTATTAAAAATCCATGGAGTGCATGCCGCTGTATCCTGTTTGCAGGGGTTAGCAATGGGTTAAAGTCTTGCCTGGCATGAGAGGCAAGAGGAGGAGAGTGTTTTCAAGTATTTGCTGGAATGCACTGTCTGGAATCAAGGGCTGAGATATTTGAAAGAAGACTCCACATTACAGACTATGGGAACAACTGGTTTTATCCTCCAAATCACTCCAGAAGGCATCACTTCTATCAAAGTAATTGTGTAAAAAAGACCCTGCTGCAGAAGACAAACAGGAAAGAAAGGAGGAGAGGACATGATAACGTGCCAGGGGACATGGAAGCTGCTCGAGAGACCAAGCTCATGCCTGGAGAGGCCTGGGCATGCCTCTTACCCACAAGTGACCAACAGGCCCTGCTCTGTCACAGCAGGGCCTCGCGCCTGGCTGGGATTCCTGCTGGCTTGCACAGCTTCCCTCAAAGGGGGCAGGCTGTTTCCCTGTCTGCTTTTCTTTGCTAATTTTCTGACACAGGATCTCCCTGGCCGTCCTGCAGGCAGACAAAAGCTTTGACTAGCACAGCAAATGTGTAGGAATTAGTCCCTTAGGGCAAGCTGCAACTTCTAAAGCCAGCTTCAACAGCAGTAAATGCATTGCCACAGCCAGAAATTCCCTAGCAAGTAAAGAGCATGGCAGTCACGGACCCACAAAGTTAACGAAGCCACAGGACTCATCCAGAGGTTATAACAACTGAGGTTCGTTTATACCAAGAGATTTAAGAGGTCTGCAGGTGTAAAGGGCAAGTCCTAAACAAAACCCCGTGAGCCTGACTTAGCTACACCAGTTGTAAAAGAAGTGTAGTGTGACCAGAAGTAAATTGCCTTCTGTGCACATTTCTCTATAAATATACGGGCAAATAAAAGAGTTCTCACCATCTAGATGTGGAATATAATTTCTTGAGAAGGTGAGAGGTGACATGCAGGGAATTTTTCCATGTGGTATTTCATCTAGAATTAAATCTTGTGGATGCCTGAATCCTGTGTTTCAGTAGAGCATACAGGATTTCCTCCTGTGCAATGGGATCTTTCCAGAGTGTAGAAAACTGTTCTGGAAAACTTTAGTGGCTTATATTTTAATTTGGTCTTTGGGAGGAATCCCAGGATTGATCTGGAGCCTGCCATTCCCTGAGCATCTCCCATGTGTGTTGCAGTCAGGAGGAGACATTCATTCTTCACTTGGAGGTATAACAAAGGGTGTTCAGCAAGATGCTGATCAATGCTTTCCCATGAAAAAAGTCATGGCCCCAGCAGCAGACACCTTCTTGCAGAAAATGAAATGTTCACTGCCTCCTGTGATGTCCAGAATCAGCTGCTTGTTGCACCAGGTTTGTGTGGAGCAGACACAGTGTCTGACTCAGTGTAAAACGGTGAGGTGAAGGGGGAGCCATGGATAAATATCACACAAGTTCCAAATCCTTAATTTGTGGATCATTAACTTCACACGGTAACCCTTGGGAGACAAGGTCATCTGCTTCATGGGCTGGGAAGGTGGTTTTGCAAATAAGGGTGTTTGTTCAACATTGCTGATCCCTGCTGATCCGTTATGAAAGCCACATTAGTTACTGTACCCACACGTTATGTGCAGTCATGTGATGCTCCAGGCCTGAAATACATTTAGCAAGTCAGAAGAGATAAGGCAGGCTACAATCTGGCTTTCTTCCCTTAGGTTTGCAGAATGTGTTTGCAGATGTGTTGCTCTTTAGGAGGCTGGCAGGAGGAGGGGGGAACGTTTTCTTTAATTGCCTGTTTCAATACCAGAAGCAAAAGATGAGGTCATCTTTAACACCTCCCAGTAGCTGTGATGTCCCTCCCACAGCCTGAGCCATGCTTGTCTCAGTTCTGCCTCAATGATGATTTTCAGCCATCATGAAGTGGACATGACTTTGGCCATTTCACCTGGGTTCATGTAGAGCCAGTGAGCTGAGCTGGATCCGTCTCAGTGCTGATGGCTGCAGCCAGTGGGTCAAAGTAGCGCACCTAATCAGTAACCAGTGTGTGACCAGCATCGTGGCTTGGAAACTTTCAGCTTCTTTGTCGGCTGGTGTTTTGGTTCAGCAACACATGCACAACTTTTCCTCTTTTGGTTAATAATTGTGTTCCCTTGCAAACATTACATGTTTCCTGTAGAGTTGTAGGTGCAGCTCGTTCATACATGTGTGTGTTACTGTGGATGAGAGATTCATAGGAGTGGCTGTAGCCATCGAACACTCAAGGATGTGGGCAGGCTTTGTCAGCCAGTAGCTAAGAGAACAAGGGAATAAAACACCAAATACCTGTACTAGGCTCCTCACAGGCCAAGGCTGAGCAAATTCTGCTTGCCTTAGATTAGCATAGCCTTAGCCTGTTGCTTTCTGGTGCACCAGGTTTTGGTTGGTACAGCAGTTGGAGGTTGGTATGTCAAGTTACACGCAACCTGTACTTACTTCATCTCCAGAGGCTACATAATGCTGATTACAAGTGCCAAAGCTTGCTTCTGCTAGCCCAGGACTGGGAGTCCCATTCTTTCCTATTCTGCAAGGACAGTAGCTGTTAAATGTCACCAAAGCATAGGACATAGCTGGGAACCAGTGGGTGAGGTATTTATCTCCCCTCCCTGAGCAACGTACGTGGTTGTAACACTCCGGCTGGACATCTGGGCTCCTCACAGGGGCTGGTGCAATGGTAGAGGCTCATCGGCACCTCTGCTGCCCTGGGAGCATGAAATGCCTGACCTGCTCTGCCCACTTTGTACTTCAACAGTAAATTAAAGGTCTTCATTAGCTTATTTGATAGTTGAATAAAATGCTTTGAAACACTGGCACATTAACTGCAATCAAGTTTTGAAAGGTCTCTGGTTGCTAGAAGGAAATTAGCTTGATAAATCGCTCTTTTCAATTAACAAATGGGTAATTTTTCACAAGCAAGCCCAGAAGCTATCATTTGGGAAGGGTGTTTTTTTCTTTTTTGTTTTTACTTTTGTTTTTCCCTTTGCTTTTTTATTTTTATTTTATACATGATTTTTCTTAAAGAACTGATTGAGAGAGACTGGTTGTCACTGGAAGCATAAGATAGCAGCCTGTAAAGCCATCCTCCCTGTCTGCCTCTGACACCCTCACAGGGGTCCCATGGCCAGGCAGTGCCCTGTGAATTGTTCATCCAAAATGGCAGTATCTGATGTCACAGCTTTGTTTTTTGCCTGCGTTTCTGTGCCTCTGCTCACCGGTTTGTGTAAAGACGCGTTACCCTCCCTGGGTCAGAAAGGCCTGTTTAACTTAAGCTAAGGGTTCCAGGATAATTATAGTTACTTAGTAACTTTCATCTCCAAATAAACTGGTTAAGAAATGTGATGGCTTCCCTTTTGGTCAAAACCAGAGACTGACCCGAAGATACCTCCAGTCCTCAAAGCTCTGAACACAGTCTGCATTCAGAAAGTGCTCCCCGAGGCTGGAACAGATTGTGTCCCTTGTGTACTGAGCCTGAAAGGGACCCCAGAAATGCATGCTGACCCCAGTTTCACACCAGAGCTACAGACGTGCTAAGAACTTCATATGCTCTGTCTACTGCAGAAAAGCAAACGCTAGTATAAACAACTGTGGCACTGGATTCATCTTGCCTTGGGCATATTTATCCAGGGTATTGCCATTACGTCATTCACATTGGGACTGGCATTATCTGCTGTTTCACATCTTGGAAGCTGGTACGAGCCCTAGTCAGAGGTCAAGATGCTGTTGAAGTTCAGATGTTTCTGAAAGAAAAGCATAATCTTCCAACAGCAGAGTAATGTTAGATTTGCAGCGGTGCCATGTCAGACAAATCATGTGAGAGAATTGAGATTATATTTCTTTTTTCTTTTTGAAAGTGAGGTTTTATTGCCAAGAATTTAGATACTGCATGTTAAAATCTATCTGTAAAAGGCAACCATAGCCTCATCTTTGAGAACTGAATAGGGTAATTTGGGGCTTTTTTATGGTATCAGAAGAGACCACAAATGATATAAGAACTTCCTTCCACCAGCTAACTAAAATAATACTGAAATATCCTGCTGTAGTTTGGAGTAACTGCATAAAACATGATGACTCACGTGATTAGAAATTCTCCTTTATTTTTCCTCTGTGCACAGAGCTGCTCCTGGTGAACTGTTCATCACAGTGCGTAATTACATTCCTTTCACCTAAACTGTTTCTACGTTTCCCATTTCTTTTTCCTGCAATGCTGATTGTTCTCGAGTGTCTTGGTTAGAGTGGAAGCGATCTGTATGCAGAGACTCGGGTGTCAGGCTGCAGTGTGGTTTATGAGAAATTTAGCATTGGGACAAAAGACTCAGCAGAGTTGGAGTCTCCCAGAGGACTGCTGTTGACCCCTACCTGGCTGCTGAGGCAAAGGTTCAAGGCACAATACAGACTATCTCCTTGAACTTAGGGTTATCATAAAACATCACATTCCTTTGGAGGACATCACCTCTAGTCAAACGGTGCCTGGGGGCGAGCAGAAGATGGCTCTTGCCCTGCTTGCGGTAAGAAGGTCCATGTGAACATGAGCAGAAGCTGAAATATCTGAAAACTGCCCATCTGTTCAAGTACAGTCTGCACTTCTACAGGGATACCCTGCTGCTTCTGGCCTTGGAGCTTCAAAGGTTTGCTAAGTGTTACCGGTGGTCCCCGACCTAGGGGACTTAGAAATCTCTTCTACTTGTGCTGGCTTGTAAGGGCCCTGCTCCCCCTCCAGGCAGGAGGTGAGTCATGGTGCCTGGTCCTCATACTGAGATTTGTTTGGCTGCTATCTCATCTTCCTGTTTTCTTGTCCGTTCTCCCCATTTCTTTGTTCTGTCTGCCCAGCATGTGCTGTGGTAACCGACATTGGAAGCTGTGTGGGCAGGGAATGGGTTTTGTTTTTAATTAAAAAAAAAAAAAAAAAAGTGTGGTTACATCATCTTGCACAACAGGTCCCTGCTCTGTGGCTGGGCCAAGAGAGTCCTGAGCTGCAAAAAATATGAAAAACTTGGAATTGCAATAATTAAATGATATTACAGCATGTTGTATGTAATAACAACACATTCCAGTCTGCTCCCTGCATGGAAACTCCCAGGTACACCTGGCAACGAGGGAGAGAGAGATCTGAATACTAATGGCAACTGGAGGAGGGGGCACCTAATCGTATTTTGGCTAATTGCCAGGTTGCCTGCTCTTGAAAAATGTGCCTGTGCTGAGCTAGGCATATTTTATTTTATTTTATTTTTCATGTGGAGAAAATTGGGTAGGGTGTTGGTAGGGCTTGATATTTTCCTCATGCTTCCTCCAGTCAGCTGTGTGAAGGTTCACATAGCCATGAGGGCCGCGCTCACTGCCCCGCGAGGCCTTCGGGCCTTCTTGGAAAGGCTTGGAGCAGCTGGTCAGACCCAGGGAAGAAATTGCAATTTTGGAGAGGAGCAGATGTAAACTTACAAAATGAAGAAGTATTTCTGTGTTTTGTGGGTTTGGGGGGATTTTTTTTTTTTTTTTTTGCTTGTTTGCTCGATTCTTCTTTTTTTAGTAAATCCAGATGACTAACTCAGGGCCTCTTTTCTCCTTCCCTGCAGGCGGAACAAAAGTCTCTGATGATTTGCTTGCTTCAAAAGGTCCCCACTGATTTTACCTTTGGGTCTGTTCTACCATCTCTCATTGTTTCATGTAAGCATTTTCTGTGGTAATTAGGCTGGTAAAAGCGTATTCCCTGGTGGCCTTCCTGGAGTGCCTGCCCTCTCTGGGTTGAGAAAGCTCTGCTTGGGGGCAGCATATTTTGTCTCTGAGCGGGGAGGCAAAGAGTCGATATTGTGAATGCTGTCCTGATTATGATGGAAAATCTTTTAAAAGAGGAAAGTTTTGCTGCATTTCCTAGAAGCAGTTCAGGCTATGTTTGTCTGATTTCCTCTGGAAGCTCACAGCAACCTTGACGGTGAATGTTTTGTCCCTGGCTGTTTCCTTCTGGACTTTGCGGCCTGCATTGTCCCGCAGGAACACAGCTATCTCTGTGATTTGCAGATGCAGGTGCAGGCACTTTCTGTAGCTGGGCACAGATACAGCCAGAGCTTTGAAGACCAAGACCTTGAACTAGCAGTGGAAGCAGATTAAAAACCCTCTTCAGCTTCCTAAAATGCAACGCCTACAGTCATCAGGGCTTATGCGTGAGGCAACGAATGAAAACAACCCTTAGGTTTTTAAAGGCTTTTAAAAATTGTACGAGAAATTCAATATTTTGTTTCCTTGCCTCCAAATGATTTCAAACTATCGATATGAATGCCTCTAATTTCAAGGTTTTTCTTTTGGGATATAACAGAATTTAGATAGCCTCTCAGAAGTATGGCCATGGGCAGGGGAAGAACGGACGTGTCCAGCGGGGGAAATACAGCCATCCAGCGGGAATTAACAGAGCAGAAAGGATTTGGAAATTCTAGTTTCTGAAGCTTGCAGCAGGGCTGGATTCAAGGGATTTCTTCAACAGGAACACAGGCCCTAAAAGGTTATTGAACTGTGGAAGCTCATCTGAAGCAGAAGAAGAGTGGCCTGGGGAGGGGCTTAGCTCATTGAGCTGTGTCTTTCCCCCTAGCACACAGCCCGTGCCTCAGTTTCCCCATGTGCAGAGCACAAGGACTGCCAGTGATGGTCTTTTGCAAAGCCCATTTGAGATCCAGCAATGAAAACTGACACGGCCGTCTGGGTATCGCTGTCATTCAGGGCAGAATCAGCATGGTTCAAAGCCAGAGTGAGCCCTTCCACGTGGTGGGTTAAAACCCCAATTTTTGGTCCAGGTTCTGAGATCCCCCACCCTTGGCATGGCCAGGCTGGCGTGTGGGAGCTGCCTCACCGGTGGGGTGCTGGTGTGGGGCCCGACCCATCCCACCCCGGCAGCACAGCCACCGCCATCCACATCCTCACACCGCTGCTTTGGCCTTCCCACTGGCCACAGCTCTCCTTCTGTAACACCTGGGTGCACACTGGGGTTGTTTGTTCGCTTTAGTTTTGCTTTGTGGGGAAACTGATACAGGCTGCACGTTAGCTGTAAAGGAGAACAAACAGGGTAAGATGGGAGTATTTCTGCATAGGGTAATAACTGGGCTAAGATGGGAGTATTTCTGTATAAGGTAATAAACGGGGTAAGATGGGAGTATTTCCTTTATTATTGAAAACTTGGGAAGCTTCTCTTTTTTGCTGGCTCTTTGCTCCTGAAGTATTGCGCTGCGTGCCTCCTGAGCCAAACGATAAAATTAAAGAAAATTAAAGAAAAATAAATAATAAAATAAAGCAAATTAAAATAAAGGAAAATGAAAGAAAAATGAAAGAAAATTGGTAAAGATAAAGAAAATAAGGAAAAGATAAAATATGAGGAAAAGATAAAATGTAAGGAAAAGATAAAATATGAGGAAAAGATAAAATATAAGGAAGAGATAAAATATAAAGAAAAGATAAAATATGAGGAAAAGATAAAATAAGATAAAAATAATTTTAAATAAAGATAAAATAAAGTAAAACTAAAAACAAAGTAAATTAAAATAATACAAAATTAAGATAAAGTAAAGTAAAATAAGGTGAAATAAAGTAAAAAATTCAAGACATGACATTTTCAAAAATACAAAGGACCGGGGGGGGGGGGGTGAGGCTCGCGGGCAGGCCCCCTCCTTTCCCTCCGAGCCGCCCCGGCGGGGACTGGCGGGGGGCGCGGGGGCTGCCGTGGCTGCGCGGACTCCAAGGCCCGGCGTGCGGCGGGGCGCTGCGCAGGCGCGGGCCGTGAGTGGCAACTTGTTTGTGCGGCCGGCCCCGCGCCGCTCGGCTCGGCCCCGCTCCGCTCCCTGCCCCTGCCCCTGCCCCGGCCCCGCTCCGCGCCCCCCCGCGCAACTTTGGCACCCCCCGCCCACGGAGCCGGGCAGGGGGAGAGGAGCCGGGCGAGGAGGAGGAGGAGGAGGAGGAGGATAAGGGAGGAGGAGGAGGAGGAGGAGGAGGGAAGGAGAGGAGGGGGAGGGAAAAAAAAATAATAATAAAAGCAACGGCAACACAAAAAGCGAGCCCGGGGCGCCGGCAGTAAGAGCCCCCCCCCCTCCCCTCCCAGCCCCCCCATTAACGCCGGGGCTAGATGAACTACAAATGAGAAAGAGGAAAAGATGGAACTGCACATCCTAGAGCACAGGCTCCGGGTGGCCAGCATAGCCAAGGAGAGCATCCAGCTCTTCACCTACGGATTGATCAAACTTGCCTTCCTCTCCTCCAAGACCAGGTGGGTGCCGGGGACCCCCCCCTTCTGCCCCCCCAAAAGGGGACGGGGTTTGGGGGCGCCCCCTCCTCGCCCCCTCGGGGGGAAGGGTGCAGGAGCTTGGGGGCTCCCTGCTCGGGGGCACCCCCCGGCCGTCCTGCACCCCGGGGTGCTGCTGCCAGGGGTGGGGGCACCTTGGGGTGCTGCGCTTTTTGGGGGGGGCACCTTGGGGTGGTGCGTTTTGGGGGGGCACCGGGCTTGCTAGGAGCCGGGGTGCTGGCCCCGGGGGACACCTTGTCCCTTAGAGGGGTGTTTTTTTTGGGGGAGCAGGGGGTGTCTCCCCCCGCAGCTCTCCTGCCCCATCCCAAGCTGGGGGGGCCGGAGTTTGGGGTTCCCCCCAAAAGGTCCTGGGGCAGCGCAACGGGAACAGGTGGGGGCCGGGGGGGCAGGCTCGGGGCCACCGCCGGACAACAAAGGCAGCGGCAGGAGGAGGAGGAGGAGTGCTTGGTGCTGGTGTTTTTTTCCCCTCTTCCCTTTTTTTTTTTTTTTTTTCCCTTCTTGCTCTCTTATTTTTTTTCTCTCGCTTTTTTTTTTTTTTTTTTTTTTTTTTTTTTCCCTCTCCCGGTCCTTGCCGCTCGCAGCCGGAGCGGCTCGTGCAAAGGTTTGCGCTAAAAGGTGTTTTTTTGGTGCTGCCGGATTGCAGGAGGGCAGGGGCAGTGCTCGCCTTGCACTTGGTGCTCTTTAAAAATCGTGGTGTTGAGTAATAGGGATTGTGATAGCTTTCTGGAGGAAAAAAAAAAAAAAAAAAACAACTGTAATGGAAGGCACCGTGAAGAATTTTATTTTTTTCTTAGGGGAAGGAAAGAAAACGCTCTGGCCGGTATTACTGAGTGTGCCTCGCTGCCTAGGCCTTTCACAGCAAAACAACTTGAATTGCAAATGCATATTCTTATGTCTTCACTTCGCTTGTTGACTTTGTTGCTCTATTCAGAAAGAGGAATGGGAATGTAAATAGCACGACTCAAACTCTTCTTGTTTTTCCAGCCTGATAATTGGTATTTCAGCTTTCTCCTCAGATTCATCTTAGATAGCATTCTTGTAATGAAGGTGGGAAATTTTCTTTGGCAGTAGGACAATAATAAATAGATAATAAATTTGCTTTTTATTTCTTAAATTGTTTTATTCCAAGCTGTAATTCAATCCTCTCTCTGCAATAATGCTTATGGATGAATGGACCTATTTGTGGTGTAATTTGATTACAGTCCCTTATCTCACAGTTAAACTTCATGCATTGAAATCTCACTCTGACTCTGATTTGGGGCTCATCCCATTTGGCTCAGCGCTAACGTTGTTTGCAGCGTAATGCACATCAGCACCTTGTTTACTGCTGTCCCTGAATACCCAGCAGGGTATTAAAGGCTCTTCAATCTTAAATTTCTATTTTTCATGTGTTATTTCATTGCTAATTGAAAGCGGTTGCTGATTTGGTGGGGGGGCTGTTGCTCCCCCCCGCTGACAAAGTGTCGCTGTCGGCGTCAGCAATGAAATCTTCAAACCTGTCACTTCTAATGCATAGGCTGGGGGTTGGGGGTTACTGATTTATTTACGTATTTAAGTTCGTGGATGATCCTGTTTTCTTTTTGCTTCATGCTAAATTTTGTATCTGTACGTAGAGAGGTGTGAAAGGCTTGGACAGCAAGTGTGCCCTCTGCCCTGCAGTGCGATAGCTGGTCCCGCACTGGGGTGCAGCACTGGGCAGTTTGGGATTCCCCAAGTCACTGGTGTCTGGCTCTTTCCACACAGTGAGTATCAATAACGCTTCTGTGGAACCTCACTGGTCAGGAAGAAAGCTGTTTGTGGAAAGGTTTTGTTTGGCATGGGGAGCTTCTATTTATTTCCCTTTTGTTTTGTTTTTGCAGAGAGTAGCAATGTAGGGGAAAGAAGGGAAAGCTTGCCTCTGTCGTTCTTGAGACAGCCGATAGTGCTGAGATGTTGCTCTTTCTCCTCTGGGTTTCTGCAGCCAAGACCCCTGCCCCATGGACCTTCTGCTCTGATGGATGTGTTTGTGTGACAAGTGAAAGTCTCTGAGAGATGTAACTGAATTTATGGTCCTGCTGGTTTATTCTCACTCCTCTAAAAAGTGGATGCATCCAGCAGACAACAACTTCTTATTCATGTGCAAGACAAATGTCCCCCCAACCACCCCACCTGGGAAGGACTACGTGGGGGATGAAAGCAGAAGGTGGCCCACATCTCTGCTGGTCCTTTCTGATGAGATAAAAATGACCGTTACTTTTACTACCTATTTTTTTCCCATTGAGACCTTAAACAGAGCTCTTACCTGTGCTGCAAGGCTGCCAGTGAGAAATAATGATTTGAGGGACAGATGTGATCCAGAGAGGTGGCAATGACATCACCAGTATCCTTCTGTTGGTAAGGCAAGAGATTCCACAGCTTTACATAGGCTCTCACTTCTGAGAAGTGATCTGGAAGGAGTATTGGAATATCTTTCACGTTCTCGTACACTAGGGAATAGGGCTGGAACAATTTTTCAAATCTTGTACGTTTTTCTTAATCCTCTTGGGAAGGAAAAGTAACAAATCTCCCTCTCGTTAGTTGGCCTTTTGCCACTTTGTCTGCCCTTGTTCATGTCATGAGTCTTTTAATTTAGCTTCTGTTACAATAGCAGTATTTTTTTTTGAACAAAGAACAGCAATTTTGGAACTATTCCGATGGCCAGAAGCAAGAAAGCAGTTAACGAGGTGAAGAGGTGAGACCAGTAGTGAATAAAACAGTGGGCTGAACTGAGCTGAAAGAATAACACTATTAATCATAACTTTGTTAGGTATGAGATATCTTATGCAGAGATGCATTGAGACAGATAGTCAAATGATAGCTAATAGTGAAACCCCGACTTAGTTATGCTGAGCAATGTGCTTTCGGTGCTCTGCTTGTGTAAATAAGTGCAGACCCATTGACTTCACCTGAACTCTGCCAGGCACCCTAGTGGAGGATCAGGTCCCTGTAATGTTTAGTTGCATGCTGAAGATTTGCATGTACCTCATCTCTTTGCTGTTGCTCTCAGCGTCGTCATCCAAGTGTTTTACTGATCGTGACCTGTCTTCATTTGGCTCATGGGTTCCTTGGTGCCAAGGATCTTCGCCTATTCAGAAGGTGTGCCTTGTGTTTGTGCATGTAAATGTAACTGTGCCTGGTTTTAACACTGCATCCTTTTCTCTTTGTATGTGCCCCTGTAAATGCTCATTCTCTGGGGCAGGGAATTGTGCTCATCCTTCCCACCTGTAGTGCTGCAAGAACAGCTTCCCTCCCACCAAAATTAAGCATCTCCTTTCTACAGGGTTAAAACATCTCATGCTGTCAGATGATGTGTCCCAAACAACCTGCTTGAGGACTTGATAGACATCCTAATGTGCTACCATGCTCCAGCCTTGATCTTTGTCCTGCATGCAGCACACTTCTAACTACGTCTCCCTCTACAGCATAGGAATTAAATCTGGATGGAGGGGGAGGAAGGACAGTTTCAAGTCTTGGGTAACGCCTGCACTGAGCCACTAGTACATGGAAAAAGTGAGGTTGACCTTGTCTTTTGAGTTTATAAAAATATATACGGAGAGTTCAAGTCCTGGAGAATCAAGTGGGGTCAGGGTTTTTCCAAGCACTGTGTCTGTGTAAAGGAACTGGCCTTCGCTTGCTGGTTTCTGGGTAATGCTGAGATAGATCCTTGAACATCTGGAGTCAATGAGTTAACAAGTAGCCTTTCCTCTCTTGGTCCCAGTACCTAATATAAAGGTTTGGTGGTAAACAGAGAATTGAAGTAGTTGAGGGAGAAAGATGTTACTTAAATTCTAATGATATTAAGTTATAATTAGGATGAAGTTGAGAGGTTGGTTTGTTCACAGAGCTGGGCAGTTAAAATAATAGTAGGTCCTGTGCCTAGCATCGAAAATCTTAAAATCTGTAATTGAGAGTTTTCTGATAGCGTTTAGTTTGTGGTGGTCCTTGTTATTTCAGTGTGCTAAAGAGAAGGAACAAACGTGTGAAGGGTGAGACCTCAATCTCAGGAGTGTTTAAGGCAGCCATTTCTAAAGCATCTTGGTTTCTTCTGCAAGGCTCCCAGGTCGCCTTCTAGAGGTGCAGTTGCTGCACACCGGTGGCTTCAAGCAGAATCACAGGTACTTTGCAAGGTGCAGATTCCAGACCTGGCACTGGATCCACGAGGCTGGGCGTGCGAGAGAGAAGAGATGCTTCCCAGAGGAGCCGGGTGGGCTGCAGGAGCCAGGCTGGCCTCTGCCCTGTGCTCAGCACTGCTGTCACGCTGCCTCTGCCAGGGGACGCTCGGAGGCAGGAGGGGTTCTCAGAGAGGTGCTTAAAAATGTTCACTCCAATCAAAGGGTAGTGAGAAGTAAACAGCGATAAGCTGTGTGGAATAAACTGGCTTCTCTCAGGGAAGTGGTGGAGTCACCATCCCTGGAGGTCTTTAAAAGGCGTTTAGATGTAGAGCTTAGGGATATGGTTTAGTGGGGACTGTTAGTGTTAGGTCAGAGGTTGGACTCGATGATCTTGAGGTCTCTTCCAACCTAGAAATTCTGTGATTCTGTGATTCTCTCGTATGTGAATAAGCCGTGAAGCTAGGTTTGTTATTTTTGCTAACTTTGTGATAGTTTCTTTGGTGATGTGTCCCTTTTGCTTAGTAATAATCGACACCCCTACTTATAAACAACGTGTTGTTGCTATTAATATAAGTGTTTTTCATTCCCTCATTGCTTGTTTACTGTTTAGGTGTCCTGAAATTGGAGATACTGTAATAAAAGATCTATTTTGGATTTCAAAACATAATAGGATGAACAAGTGTTTGAAATATATCATAGAATCATAGAATATCCTGAGTTGGAAGGGACCCTTAAGGATCATCAAGTCCAACTCTTGACACCGCACAGGTCTACCCAAAAGTTCAGACCATGTGACTAAGTGCACAGTCCAATCTCTTCTTAAATTCAGTCAGG